AAAAGTTTTATAACAGAAGCTAAGGAAAACTTTTCATTTCCAAAAATGTTCAATTTTTTTTCCACTATATAGTAAAAAAATAAAAAATGCAGTGATGATTAAATACCACCAAAAGAAATTTGTATCTGTCTAAAAAAACATTCATTAGGGTACAGTGTTGCATGACTGAGTAATTGTTAGCCAAAGTATCACAGTGCAGAAAACAAAAATGGCCTGGACAGGAAAAGGGGATTTAACATGCTGGTCTTCAAGTAGTTAAATCTAATGGCCATTGCTTTTTCCAGCAATCCTCAACTTATTAATTCAAACCATCATCCGTTCAGGTCTTTCTGCTAGAAATTAAAAATCTTGAAATGTATTTATTGTGTGTATGCAGTTACTGAAAAAAGGTAAAAGTATTTTCCATTCTCATCAGGATGACCTTTTTTCGCTCGAAAGCTGACCGAAAAAGACTATACCCTCTTGTATGGCCTTAAAAGAAAAAAAAAAAAAAAAATATCTTTTTGGCCGGTATCTTATATAAACGTGACCACCTAATATCAAGTGCAAGAGGAGTAAGGCATCCCAATCCTTATATGGTCAGTTTTATATTCCTTGGTTAATGCCCTTTGTTTTGTTTCTGTCATTTTCTGTGGATAACTAGTGTTGATGTCATGCTTGTGCCTTCCTGAAAGCTGATAAGTATCCTGCATATAAATAAATCACCATTTATGCAACTAGTCAAAGGTATCAATTTCATCTAAATGCATTACTCTCATGTAGGTATTACAGTTTTAAGAATTAAAATATTTATACTTTACATAACATACATAAATGGTACAAGATGCTAAGTTTACCTGCATTGCATGATAATATTTTGCATGTATACAGTGCTGAATGTTAACCCTTGGACTATAATTACTAACATTTAGAACAAGCAGTCTTTTGATGAAGTTTTCATATATCGCCTCTAGTGTCAAATACAGACAATCAATAAGAACCCGCAGAGCATGTGAAACAGCTAGAATGCATTTATGCTGCATCCTGGTAACAATCCAGTTAGAAAGACACAGGTGCAAGAGTTGTTTATATAAGGGCCAAGACACAGCCTCGGATTCATCTTCTGGTTGAGATGTGCTGGTGAGTGTGATAAGTTCCTTATCAGGACAAGCTACCTATTTACTCCTTGAACTCATTTTTAATAATCTGTTATTTATTTTAAATGTAATGGAAAATCTTAAATCAATTATAATGACCTAACATTTCTTGACATTTCGCCTTTCTTATCAAAATGAACCTTATTCAAACTGTTTATTTGGTTTGTGCTGTCTTCTTTGCAAATTGATATGCTAGATTAGATACAAATGTCAATTGATTTGTGATCATTTTCTCTGCCACTTGATACTAATTTTGCAAGGATACTGTTAACAAAATAATGTACATGAGCCCACTTAGAGTTATAAATATCACAGTGTTTTATTTATTTTGGTATTCAAATAAACAGCATGTTTTATTTTATGGTGAAATATAATTTCAGCCTTCTGTAAACCTAAAGTTGATTGCAGGCTGGGAGATATTTATTTTGCTAAAATGATGTGCATATTAAACAAATGCGTTGTTTTTTTTTTTTTTTTTTTATAGAATACCCTTTTCACCTTTTTTCATTCTTACTCCAGTGATAACTGGATGTCACTGCTGAGGGTGGGTTTCCTGATAGTGACAACAGTGGAACAGGACTGCACAAGTGTCGGCACAGCCTTATTAAAGTGCCACAATGAACAATCAAAATTATCCAAAAGAGAGAGTGCTCTAAACTACCACATCAAAATGCTATGTAGCTTTATTCTCGACAATGAATTAACAGTTTGTAGACAAGCAGTATCCAATGCATTTTGGGGGCAGATGCCATTGGCATCTATACCTATTACCCTTTGTGCCAATGCATTCATCTCTTTTTTTTTTTTATGGAGATCCCTTCTCAGGACATCGTTTCATAGTCCATATAGCAGCTCAAGATGCCTACAACATGCCCTGATAAAGGGGGATTGTCTGTCACCCAAAATGCATTGGTTCCTATTTGTCTAACTATTGTTAATTCATAGTAAAGATTAAAGATATTTGGACACTTTATAGTTTAACAGGCTACCTCTTTTTTTGCTCATTGAGACAGAACATTGTTATCCTATAACAGAAACAGCTCCGATGAAGGTGAAGTCATACCTGAACCAGATGACGAATCAAGTTCTGACTTTGAAGATGATACAAGACCAAAATTGTTTTCTCAGGAGGAGATGATGATTGGGAAGAGGCTTGAATCTTCCTAAAGATGCCGCTGAGTTACTCGGATCAAGGCTGAAAAGCAGGAATTTATTGTTGCCAGGAGTGTCATCTTCATTGGTTCAGACATCATGAAAAGGAGTTCGTTCCTTACTTCGCCCAGGAAGACAAGTTGGTTTATTGCATCGATGGTGAAGGTCTGATGGGTCAATTTAAATCCAATATGATTCAGAGCAATGGCGTCTTTTTTTATAGATTCTTCAAAAAGAAGTCTCAAAGCAGTTTTACTCCACAACAATGATTTTTACGCTTCCATACCTGTAGGTCATTCCATACACTTGAAGGAAACCTACGAGAACTTGGAATTGGTTCTTCGTAAACTTAAATATGAAGACCATGTTTGGCAAGTGTGTGGGACTTGAAGGTCTTGTGCATGCTGCTCAGGCAACAAGCTGGGTATACCCAATTACCCTTGTTTTCTGTGTCTATGTGTTAGGAATGGACTGGCCAGCAATGGTGGGACTCACCTGCCTTTTGATCTGCAGTACCAGGGCTGGCCAGCGGGTGCTCCCAGCAATCAGAGACTCAACCTTTCAGCCAGCTAACACCTGGAACTGATGATACTGGGTATTTAAGGGATGGCCAGACTTGCAGACTCTGCCTTGGTGTTGTGTTTGTCCTGGGCCCTGTATCTGTCCTGCATCCTGTTTCTGTTCCTTTGCTGACTTCTCCTGCTCTGATCCTGGCTTGTGACCCTGACCATCCCTCTGTCTGACCCTCTGTACTATGCTGCTTGCTACCTGCTGAACCTGGCCTGTGACCCCGACCATTCTCCGCTTGCTCCCCCTGTACCTACCTGCCCAATTGATATTGACCCGGCCTGCCTGACGACGCTTGCTTGTATATACTGTTATCTGTGGATGGTTGGTTTGGTTTGTTTGCACCGTATTATGTTTTTAGTATTGCACTGCGTTTATGTTTGTACTGTTAGTGTTAATAAATTATATTGTTTATAACATATCTGAGGTCTGCGTTTCCCTGCTTCAGTCACACACCTCTGGTCATACCTGGGAGCCCTGACATTACACCAAGGCCAATCCTGACCAGAAGTGGCTGCACAGGGAAGCCATCTTGGCTTGTTGATGGGAAGGATGGATCTTGAGGAGGTTGAGTATTTATATCTGCTAGTGTTTGATGACAGGGAGAGTATGCTTATCAAACTCTGAAGGAGTATACCCGGGGATGAATTGCTAGAATGTATACGGCTCGCTCATGTTCTAGTAGATCAGGGCACAGTGTTCTCTGAGGTGCAGCCATTGATTGAGGTTTGTGCAGAGTTGGTTTCATCTGGTTCCCCCGAATGCAGGGATGAATTTTTGCCACCATTTAGTGCAGACCAGGTAGAGTCCCTGGTGTGGTTATTAGAGGATGATGTGGGTTACTTTCTGGAGCGTTATTCCACATGTTCACCACAGACACTAAGAGATTGTATAAAACGCAGTGCAGTCATTGACCAGACAGACTTTGTGTAAGCTCAGCTTTGTTCAACCCCTACTGCAGACATGGACAGATTTGTTGCACCCAGCCTCAGTCAGCTTACAAAGACCCAGTCCTGCTTCTAACTCTACTCCTGTATTCCCACCAGCTCCTCCAGTTACAGCCCAGTATACTTGGCTATCTACCGCATGTCAGTACCCTGTTCCCACTCGCTGCACCTATCCTGCCTTTAACCCTGTAAAAAAAGCCCTCTGTAGCAACTGCTCCCTCTCCTGTTCCATCCTCCAGTTCTTCTCTGTCTCCAGCTGCTCCATTCGTTTGCAGACCTGCGTTTACTTGCAGTGCTCCAGTAGTTAAAACCAGAAAAAAAGCGAAAATTCTTTCCAACCAATACCATCCTGCCAGTATCCAAACCGGTGAGCCTGCCTTCCGTGGTTCAGACTGATGCCTGTACGCAGCCTGATGCCTGTACGCGGCCTGAAGCCTCTACTCGGCCTGAAGCCTCTACGCGGCCTGAAGCCTCTACGCGCCTGAAGCCTCTACGCGGCCTGAAGCCTCTACTCGGCCTGATGCCTCTACTCGGGCCTGATGCCTCTACTCGGCCTGATGCCTCTACTCGGCCTGATGCCTCTACTCGGCCTGATGCCTCTACTCGGCCTGAAGCCTCTACTCGGCCTAATGCCTCTACCCAGCATGATGAACTGATCCAGCCTGACGATCCTATTAGGCCAGTTGACTCGATGCCCGCTGTTGATCCAGATGATCCGGTACCTGATCCGGTGCCCGCTGTCGTGCCAATTGACTCAGAGCCCGCTGTCGTACCTGGTGACTCGGTGCCCACTGCCTTGCCAGATGACGCGGTGCCCGCTGGCAAGCCAAATGACCTGATGCCTGGTGACCTAGTGTCCGCTGTCATACCTGATGACCCGATGCCCGCTGTCGAGCCAGACAATCCGGTACCTGATGACCCGGTGCCCACTGTCGTGCCTGTTGACTCGGAGCCCGCTGCCACTGCCTTGCCAGATGACGCGGTGCCCGCTGTCGAGCCAAATGACCTGATGCCTGGTGACCCGATGCCCGCTGTCCAGTCAGACGATCCAATGTCTGACCCAGTGCCCGCGGTCATACCAGTTGACTCGGAGCCCACTGCCTTGCCAGATGACGCGGTGCCCGCGGTCGAGCCAAATGACCTGATGCCTGGTGACCCGATGCCCGCTGTCCAGCCAGACGATCCAATGTCTGACCCAGTGCCCGCGGTCATACCAGTTGACTCGGAGCCCACTGCCTTGCCAGATGACGCGGTGCCCGCTGTCGAGCCAAATGACCTGATGCCTGGTGACCCGATGCCCGCTGTCCAGCCAGACCATCCAATGTCTGACCCAGTGCCTGCGGTCATACCAGTTGACTCGGAGCCCACTGTCGTGCCTGGTGTGTCTCGGTGCCCGCCGCTCCGCCTGGGGGCCCGAGACCTGTTGCTCCGCTTGGGGGTCCAGCGCCCGCCGCTCCGCCTGGGGATCCGGCGCCCCGCCGCCCCGCCTGGGGGCCTGAGACCTGTCGCTCCGCCTGAGGGCCCGAGACCTGTCGCTCCTCCTGGGGGTCCGGCGCCCGCCGCTCCGCCTGAGGGCCCGAGACCTGTCGCTCCACCTGGAGGTCCGGCGCCCGCACGCTCCGCCTGAGGGCCCGAGACCTGTCGCTCCACCTGGGGGTCCGGCGCCCGCGCCGCTCCGCCTGAGGGCCCGAGACCTGTCGCTCCTCCTGGGGGTCCGGCGCCCGCCGCTCCGCCTGAGGGCCCGAGACCTGTCGCTCCTCCTGGGGGTCCGGCGCCCGCCGCTCCGCCTGAGGCCCGAGACCTGTCGCTCCGCCTGGGGGTCCGGCGCCCGCCGCTCCGCCTGAGGGCCCGAGACCTGTCGCTCCGCCTGGGGGTCCGGCGCCCGCCGCTCCGCCTGAGGGCCCGAGACCTGTCGCTCCGCCTGGGGGTCCGGCGCCCGTCGCTCCGCCTGAGGGCCCGAGACCTGTCGCTCCTCCTGGGGGTCCGGCGCCCGTCGCTCCGCCTGAGGGCCCGAGACCTGTCGCTCCGCCTGGGGGTCCGGCGCCCGTCGCTCCGCCTGAGGGCCCGAGACCTGTCGCTCCGCCTGGGGGTCCGGCGCCCGCCGCTCCGCCTGAGGGCCCGAGACCTGTCGCTCCTCCTGGGGGTCCGGCGCCCCGCCGCTCCGCCTGAGGGCCCGAGACCTGTCGCTCCATCTGGAGGTCCAGCGCCCGCCGCTCCGCCTGGGGGCACGATGCCCGTCGCCCCGCCTGGGGGCACGATGCCCGTCGCCCCGCCTGGGGGCACGATGCCCGTCGCCCCGCCTGGGGGCCCGATGCCCGTCGCCCCGCCTGGGGGCCCGATGCCCGTCGCCCCGCCTGGGGGCCCGATGCCCGTCGCCCCGCCTGGGGGCCCGATGCCCGTCGCCCCGCTTGGGGGCCCGATGCCCGTCGCCCCGCCCGGGGGCCCGGTGCCCGCCGCCCCGCCCGGGGGCCCGGTGCCCGCCGCCCCGCCCGGGGGCCCGGTGCCCGCCGCCCCGCCCGGGGCACGGTGCCCGTCGCCCCGCCCGGGGGCCCGATGCCTGTCGCCCCGCCCGGGGGCCCGGAGCCTGTCGCCCGGGGGCCCGGTGCCTGCACTGCTGCTCCGCCTGGTGGCCCGCTGCCTGCTGCTTCGCCTGGTAATCCGATGTGCCTCTGCCCGGAGTCCTGCCCGATGTGCCTCTGCCCGGAGTCCTGCCCGATGTGCCTCTGCCCGGAGTCCTGCCCGATGTGCCTCTGCCCGGTGTGCCTGGCCCGGTGTGCCTCTGCCCGGTGTGCCTCTGCTCGATGTGCCGCTGCCCGGAGTCCAGCCCCGGTGTGCCGCTGCCCGGAGTCCTGCCCGGTGTGCCAGTCTTTGATATCCCGCCAGTTGCCAGACCCGGGCGGTGGAACATTTTGCCCAGCTAGGACTGTTTGGAGCGTCCTGAGGCCGCTCCTTGAGGGGGGGGGTACTGTTAGGAATGGACTGGCCAGCAATGGTGGGACTCACCTGCCTTTTGATCTGCAGTACCAGGGCTGGCCAGCGGGTGCTCCCAGCAATCAGAGACTCAACCTTTCAGCCAGCTAACACCTGGAACTGATGATACTGGGGTATTTAAGGGATGGCCAGACTTGCAGACTCTGCCTTGGTGTTGTGTTTGTCCTGGGCCCTGTATCTGTCCTGCATCCTGTTTCTGTTCCTTTGCTGACTTCTCCTGCTCTGATCCTGGCTTGTGACCCTGACCATCCCTCTGTCTGACCCTCTGTACTATGCTGCTTGCTACCTGCTGAACCTGGCCTGTGACCCCGACCATTCTCCGCTTGCTCCCCCTGTACCTACCTGCCCAATTGATATTGACCCGGCCTGCCTGACGACGCTTGCTTGTATATACTGTTATCTGTGGATGGTTGGTTTGGTTTGTTTGCACCGTATTATTGTTTTTAGTATTGCACTGCGTTTATGTTTGTACTGTTAGTGTTTAATAAATTATATTGTTTATAAACATATCTGAGGTCTGCGTTTCCCTGCTTCAGTCACACACCTCTGGTCATACCTGGGAACCCTGACACTATGGGACAGTCGAGACCAACAAAATCACTGGACCAAGAAGAGTTGGCAGCCGAGGGTGCTAACAGTCGGTGAAAAAAATGTCCTCCGAGAAACTTTGGTACCTTCCCATAAAGTTCTTTTACCACCTTTCCACATAAAATTGGGATTGATAAAGCAATTCATAAAATCACTTCCAAGAGATGGAGAATGCTTCAAATACTTGGTCACCAAGTTTCCAGGCCTGTCGGAGGCAAAATTGAAGGCAGGTGTGTTCGTTGGACCAGACATTAGAAGACTTATAGTTGATCAAGAGTTTGTCAATACCATGACGGATCCTCAAACAGAAGGATGGATTTGCATTTAAAGAAGTCGTACAGAAATTTTTAGGCAATAACAAAGATCCTCACTACAAAAAGATCGTCAGACGAATGCTGAAAGCATTTCAAGCTTTAGGTTGCCTGATGAGTTTGAAAGTGCATTTCCTCCAGTCCCACCTTGACTACTTTCCTGAAAATTTGGGAGCTGTGAGTGAGGAACAACGTGAACGATTCCACCAAGACATTAAAGAGATGGAAAGGAGATACCAGGGAAAATGGAGCACTACAATGATGGCAGACTACTTTTGGATGCTTCAGAGTGACATTCCAGATGATACTCACAAGCGTAAATGCACCAAGAGGAGCCTCACAGGGAAGAAGAATCGAGTTTAGTGTGTGTAGGTGAGCTCATTTCAGTTCAAAAAAGGATTTCAAAATTGTAATAAAACTTTAATTTTATAAGTCTATTTCCATTTATTTTGAGGTATTGCCTTATTTAACATAGTTACCTAAATTGCCAGGAAAAACGTGTGTCCTATGACAAAATGGAGGTCATTTTCGGATTCAGCGCACCACAAAGCATAAAGATTATGTGGAATAACCAAAACAGCTCTTGAAAAACATTTTTTTGCAGACCATCTTTGGCCTATCCTACAAACCCATTCCACTGTCTCGTCTCTCTGTTGCTCTCAAACTATATATATACTTTTTTCTATTCCTTGGTTATATTTAGTTTAGTTCTATTTTTCTTATTTTCTTGATGTGCCTCACCTATTAATGATTGTGGTTACTATTCCATTACTCATATAAAACACTACATTCTGTTCTGTGTATTCTGTTCTCTCCTTACGAGTACATCCAAGGTTTCTATTGTTTCCCATGTCTGTATCCTTTCTCTCTAACATTTAGTGGGATCATTTTGTAATGTTCTACACGATTTTATGATATGGAATGTTACTTGATTTCTTGTAATATTCTGAATATTTTTTCTGAATAAACAGTTATTTCGCAAAAAAGAGATTTATATGAGATTTTAGTGATTGGGTTTACATCTACTTTAGAGCAGAACTAAACCCACCAATTTAACTGTTTCCCAAAACAGTTACATTCAAGGCATGCCTTGAATGAAAACTGTTACAGTTACTAGTGTGCTTATATTAGCTCTCAACTTCACTGTGAAGCCATCAAATGGCTGGTATCCTAGCTGATCACATGTATAGCACCATGGCAACTGCAGATCAGAGGCTAAGATGGCAACTTTCTTGGCTGTAAAGCATAGGAGGGTTTAATTTTGCAACCATTTTTTTTTATATTTCATTTGAAATCATACTCTGCTGTCTCCTAGTCACTGGGGTCATTTTACTAAAGAAATAATAGGCTGTTCACTTAGCAAAGTGAACTTTCACTTTGAGGAATTTTCACTTAGTTTTATTTTTTGTTTTTATGTACATTTTTCTTGCAGGTGAATGGATATTCTTTGTAAAGTTAATTTTCACCGTATTCACTATGCCATATAAACATTTTCTTGCAAAGTGCAAATTCCCTTTGACAAATGAACACACTCTACTCTTTTAGGAAATCAAGCTGTTTTGGATGCGGTCACTTACCGACCACAGCTGTTGTGATCTACCAGTGAGCCTAATTAATGTGAGAATACGTGCACGTAGACGTAAGACACTGGCAGATAAAATGCAGTTTGCCAACTTCCTAAAATTCTGTTTTATTGAGGAACTAACAGTATCATTTATAGGGCTTATGATGCAGGCAAAGCATATACTTTGATTGGGTGAAAAGTCCACTGGGTTTCTGCGTGTTCTTCCATCCGTGTTGATATCTTCCAATCATTGTCTCCAAAAAGACTCATTCCCTTTTATGGGGGTTGTTTACATTAAAAGATACTTTTCTCCTAATGAGTCACCTAGGGTGAGACTCTGGATGAAGGTGCCATCTTAATTATCATCATTGTTCTGTCATCCTATATCTGATTGTCTACTTAAGAGAGTAAGGAATTTAAAGAGCAAGAAGCAGAAAGTAGCAAGACTATAAAATTGTCATTTTACTGATCATCTAATAGAACGTGGACTGTCTATCACAATCCACTACAAAGCCATTGATACCAAATATGCAGGTTGTCAGTAATATGATTTTACCGTTATAGCTGATAGACATGGTCCTCTTGAAAAGTGCGACAATTTCTACATCCTTCTTATACAAATAAATTCTCCTTATGATCTTTGTTCTAAGGCTACCCATAAACATGAGATACAATTTTCCAAAGTTTTATAATTAGAATTGTACAACGTGGGAACACAAGTTACAAAGTATTGTGTATATGACAGTATGTTTTTTTGTACATGTTTAAGATATATGTATTATGTTTAATTAAAATGTTTTAACTTTGTCCAACAGACTTGGCCAATGATATCTTGTTTGCATATATAATACTGTTTGAGTTAATGTCCACTGTTATGTAGTGCACCTTCTGAGAATCACTAAAATGGACTGGCTTTGTTTGATGAAACCAAAAACATCAATCACATCAAAAAAGGTACATGTTAGACCAGTAAGCTATCATATCAATTTTTGGGGGTTTATTTAGTAAATCCATATACACATTAGACAAAACCTATGACAATAAAACACAATCACATTGAATAAAGGTACATATCAGATCAGTAAGTTGTTATATAAATGCTTATTTTTAGGATATTTGTGATTTAAATAGTAAATCAATCAAAGTTCACTATCATGTATGCAAAGCCAATGAGATCTGATCTGATTTTCTAATAGAATAAATCAGATTGTTTTGGTTTTCTGAATCATTATTCTTTGCATGACCTTATTAAAAGGGATGGTTATGTTTATGAATAATATGCATAAATGGCTTTAAA